TATTGCTTTTAGAAATATGTCTGACTGTCAGGCAATAAAAGAGAATACTGCAGGGATTCTTAGCTTTTGACATTTTTAATTGCTTCTGCTTTGGTTATTACACAATAGATAGTTTCATCATATAAATATAATGTATCTTTGCAAAATCCTTTAAAATATGATTTCAAACCAATGAATGCCATTTTCTATTTGCCTTTAATTTCCTCTCAATAGTAAGTTCATCAGAGTGTAACAATTAATTAACTTAATTAAGCTAACTTAATTATGTTCTTTCATAGGTCAATATGTAGAGCTACTCAGATTAACAGCAGAGCTTGTAAAGTTAATCTTCTTGTATAATGCAAATGATGCCAAGTCATGTATTAAATACCTTCCTGAGTAACAGATGATACAGGACTAAATGTACTTTAAAGAAGGGCAGAGACTGTGAAAAGGTTAAATAAAGAAAAATATCTTGGATTTGTGGAAATTTTAAACAGACCTAATTCATTTTTTAAGTTAATAATCTTCTTCCAAGAGGAGGCTTCATTCTATAAAGACATTTACAGCTTAAATATACATACATAAAAAATTGACTTCAAAAGCAAAACTGTGTGACAACATTTTCCAGCCATCTTGCAACCTTTATGTTTCTTTATTAAGAAGATTACATAAAACAGTCCTGCGAAAAGATTGGATGGAAAATGTGAATTCTTAACTTCAGAGCATTTGCATGCCTACTGTATTTCCCAGTTTATTTTACAGAGGAATCACTTCAGTAGCCAAAGGTATTATGCTCTCATATCTGCTTATTATTAATTCACTTTTAACACAGTTAGACTCTAAGGCTTTCTTAGTCATGTGGCTTAGCAATTTTGCTATGAAATATTATTGGGAACTACAGTAATAATAATAATTACTTGTAGAAGCATAAAAAGTAAAATCAAACAAACCAAATGATCTGAACAGGTGACTGATCTCTTCTGTTAAACAAATGAGTCTGATGGTTGAAAACCATTGTCTGACATCAGGACCATATGTCAAATAGCCAAATTTCAGACAACTAATCAAATTTCAGTCTTCTCTGTAATTAACCTGATTTAGGTCCAGAAAATATTCTAAATGCATAGGAATTCTAGGCCTGTAATCCATTGCAACTCTTTGTTGCAACACAAAGAAAACAAAGAAGGTGGGGGCACTTCTGTAAGGTGATTTGAACACAAGTGTAAAGGAAAAGGCTCTGCAAGTGTGGAAACTACTCAGAACTTTCAAAACCAGAATAAAGTACTAAGAAATACACCAACAGGACCAATCCTATGTCCGCTAGGGGATTACACAGATGCTATGCGTTCTCTTTCTTAAACTATGCCATGTAGAATTTATGAAGTTGCACAAAATGATGTTGCATGTCCTGACCTCAGGATGATGAAAAGGTCCAGAGCATAAATCAGCTTGTGTTCCAAAATCACAGGCCTATGACTTCTAATATAATGGAGAATAGTCTATGATATAGAACAACTAGTATATTAGCATGTGTGATTTTTCTTCAGAAAGCATCTGCTAGGTCCACACAGCATGGAAGTTTCCAATTACTTTTCTGAGCACTTTAAAAGTTAAACAAAAAAATTAGTGTTCAAGAGTAAATCTGTAGTCCAACCCATTCTGTGTAACTTTTTTTTTTTCCAATTAACAGTGTGTCAAGAACAACATATTTATAGCAAAAACAGTCTGACAATTCTTTTGTTGAATAAGTTCAAGTTATCAGCTACTCGGAACAGGGAAATTATGGTTATATCTATGAAGTTTAGAAAAGCACTCTTTTTTTTTTCATAAGTGCAAGCATAACAGATTTGTATTTATACAGATAGATAATATACAAATATATTTCTCTAATATTTTCTTGTGTTCTCTACAAATCATCTTCCTAGTTCTTGCCAATGTGTATTCTACAAGATGATTGAGTTATTTCCTCAAAGGAAAAATGAAAGATGGAAATCCAGTTATTTAACAGTCTTCTAGTAACTTCAGATAGAGAAAATATCACATGAGCACTATTACAGTCTTTACCATGTAAAGACTTTACCTGTCTTTACACTTTTATTCAGTTCTTTCAGAACATGTCACATCTTACTTTGCTTAAAAAGAAAACACCTTAGTATATATATATATTTAAAAAAAAAAAAAAAGTATAAAGATGGACTGGATGCTTTGCTGAATAAGTTTATGGTTTGGGGTTATTAAAAAATAATCTGTTTCAGTACTAACTTGAAGTGTCAATAGGACTTGTTGGACAAATGTTTTATCCAGACATCAAGGAAAGAATTAAAAAAAAAAAAAAAAAACAGATGCAAATTGTGTTCATAAAAATTAAGAAATGCTCCCTTTGCATTTGGTTCCCCCAAAATTTCTGAGAATAATGTAATGATTTCACGTTGAACTTGTAAACTGCTTGAACTATCATTACAACTAATGTCAGATGTCTTTAGTGTGGCACACATCTTTTCCTGTAGAACAAAACACAGCTGTTCACTAGTAATGAAAAAAATAGTCTGTGCACTCTCCAGATATGGGGCAAGCACTGAAAGCTTAATAATAGTACCTATCTATTAGGTACTTAGTAATATATAGTACTATAAGATAGTACCTGTCTTAATCCTTCTTTAATTCAGACTCCCAAAATATTGCACTTTTGTAGCTTTAGTACAGCACTTAGATAGCAACACAGATACATGGGCTATTCATGTTCATACAATACAGTGATGTCATTCATATTTTACCCTAAAGTGTTCCATATGATTTTGGGAGGAAGGGGAGAGGGTGGAGAAAAGAAGGTTGGCTGGTTGTTTTATTCTTATTTATTTATTTTCTAACAGAACTAAATCTCTTACAGAGAATCACACAGCATTTCATCTGTATCCATACTGCTCTAGTAACACAGCCATTCCAAAAGACTAGCTCTGTTAGCCTCTAGGCTTACACTATTAAAACATGATTAATTGATTTGCCAGTGGATCAGCAAATGAAATTAATACACATAACTCACACATTTCTATTTTACCTCTAATTAAAGATGAAGATATGCCTTTTATGAGACTCAGGTTTAAGGGAACTTTCAAAACTAGTCTCTTCTTAGTTAGATAACCAACTCCTGATTCTCACTCCCAGTAGAATAAACTGTTGCTTATAAGAAATGGTATCAAAATACTAGAGTAATACCCATCAGTCTTGCTCTTTAGCCACTATAAAACTATATATATATACATATATATATATAAATAAAAAAAAAAATACTTTAACAACAAACCTTCACTTTTTTTCAGTGTGATTGCATATTCATCTAAAAAATGTATATATTTACTAAATATACGGCAACTGCTAGATGAACAATGCAAGTGACCCCACCAAATGGGGGGGGGGTGTAAGGGTCATGAAATGTAATTTCTTCACCTTTGAATTTTATTGAACAATTACATTGTTATTTAAGCAAGTGCATTTGTGTATTTTAAAAACTCTGAATCTTAATCAACATGTGCAGAGATTTTTCTTTCATTAGTTAATGGTAAAGAATGTGTGGTATCAGAGATACAATTCAATGTATTGACTCAGGGTATACTAACAATAGTGAGGTACTGAATATTGAAGTGGTTGTGGAGACAAAATTCCTATTTAATTTAAAAATTATAAATTTGAAAACTATGTAATTGAGTATAACATTTTATGAAAAGCAGGGTTTTTCTACAGTTCCCTAAGAAACTGGAAAGAAGGTCTAATTAAGTGACACTGAAATTCAGATGGCACACAACTGTCCCCTTTCAAATGCGCTGAATTTTTCTTTCAATTTCACTGTTGGATGCTAGTTATTAAAAATGACAATAAAAACATACAACATTGACTCATCACACAGGTAACTTTCTTACTTTAGTATGGATAGTAATTCAAATCATCCAAGCATTCAAATCTATAAAAATTAAATTCTGATTATGGGGGATTGCACAGGTTTTGAAAACACAGGGTAAGGTATCTTTCTAACTTTAAATATGGTTTGGTTATATTATAAGCCAAAGTGTTACCGCATCTGAAGGACACTAATGAATACACTCACTTTCCTGAATCCTTCACAGGTACAAAGCTTTCACAGGTGTAAAACGTAAACACCCAACATGCTAATTATTGATACACTGACTTTTGTTATATGCCACGTTATATGTCCATCTGGACACTGTCCCTTTCTCCCCCAGTTACATGTGATTTCAGAGCATAAGAGGCTGGGAAGAAGGGGAGCAGTAATAGGAGCAGGATCCATCCTGCCCTCCTGCTGAGTAACAGCAGCTGTGGAGAAACAGCTCAAAATTCAACCTTTCAACCACTAGCAGAGACAACTGGAGAAGCAAAGCAAAGCCTCAGCTGAGTGACCACAAGGCATCACACAAAGTTAAATCTGATGACACAAGTAACTGCGTGTAAGATTCGGACTGCGCTACCTAAGAAAAAGAAACTGTAAGCAAGAAAATGACATGGATTATACAAACGAATGCAGCGACTTATGGGATTTTCCTGATTTCCTGCTACTATAAATTGTTCTCACATTTGCAAATCTGAAATACTTTTTTGAATGTCACTTTACATATCCTTCTTTCAAAATTCCCATCCACTCCACCTTCCTGAAATCCTTAGTCTGATAGCTATTTTACTTTTAAACTTCTTTCCTGCTTCCCTTTTCCATGGCTGTACTTGAACATTTCCTTAACTGCCTTCTCACCAGTACTGATGGGTCAAATTCAGATGAGAAAGAAATTATTTCACTAATAATGTATCAGCTAACAGCTGAAGTTAATTCTGAATATTAAGTAATTAAGCAAATACTAAAAGAATACAAGGGACTGGTGTACCAAGAGACTTCAGATAAAAAGAAGATTTAAAAAGGCATTTGTTGAGTAAAGCTCTGCAAACACTTTTGTTGTTGTTAGAGGCAGGTTTTTTAAAGTGTAATTCACACGCATTTGTTTACCATGCTGACTTACCCCCATGTAACTTAGGCGGGCTGTTTCCTGGTGGATTCTGAATTTGGAAATTCAACGTACTGGTGCTCCCCTCTCAAGGTTCCCTGCAAATCCAACCACAAAACTCTTTCTAACTCACCTCTGTTTTGATATAAACTGCGGTAACTTTTTTTTTTTCGTTTTATAATGTCTCATTCTGTTATAAAACACATATAATAAATAATTTATGACCCCATATTCAGCTAAACAGCTTCACCATAAACTGAGATATCTACTCAAATTCAAGAGCTGCATTCCCATCTTTCAGTTCTCTGATATTTCCTCAGGATCCTCTCCCCCACAGTTTAGCTGTTTGTATTCCACACAGGCCAAAATTGAGGTAAGTTGGAAAAGCTGAAAACTAGGAGCCAGAACCCATGGACTAAGCTCCCTTTGCAACTCAGGAAAATATACAAAGGCATTACTAAAAATTTATATCACTCTATCATCAGGACTGCTTACATGTGATAACTTGAGTATGCGGTGATACTCCAAAATAAGGTGAAACACCTTAAGTGAAGTACCAGAATATACTCTTAAGAATTCTCCCAGCCTTGTATTAAGAATTTGTCTCTTCTTCAAACAAAGTGACAAGACTCAGAGGAAACGAGAAATTCATAAAAGAATTTGATAATTATCTTAAGGCTGCACTAGAGAAACAATGAATGGCACTGTAAGAGTTGTGTTTCCTATTGGTAATACTTCATTTTCTCCTTTATTGGGAAGAATATAGTGAAAGAAAATCTGAGAAAAACAACAGTATTTATGTTACCTGGTACTTGGCATGTCTTTAAAAACAATAGTAACTGAAGAAGCCAAGACCAAGAATATTAAGGCTACTCCATGTGAAAGACTTCTCTCAGAAAGGGTTGATTTAAAGATAACAATGGTTCCCTGAAAGGATGATTCTCATCATAAAGTGAAGCTGGAAGTCTGCTGACAACCTCTTCTCCAGCTATGGTGTACTCTGACAAATATGAATTGCAAGGACCAAAAAAGTCAGTCATTAGCTGTGTTGTAGAACTACCTTACAAGTCAGCACCTTTTCTTATAACAACAGGGAGTATGGCCTTATGCCACACTACATCATTAGCATCTAGTATAATTTTTTTCAGAAAAAAAAGGTCACAATGATAGGCACAGTAATATTACCAAGGGCCTTTCATTTGTCCAACCCAGCAGTTAGCTGCATTTAATTTAGGATGACAAAAGCTTTATATCTACTTATAATTAATTACAGATTCTGTTTCTGTTTCTTTAGTCTTGTAAAGCTTAATTTGCTCAAATCAACAGAATTCCCCTCAACGTTATGGATGTGTGAAAGACTGGAACAAAAAAAATATAGTTTTCCAATCACTGATAATAAGAAACATCATTTAAAATGCAGTAGATGGAATATACTTGGCTTACATAATCAAGGTCCTAAAATTTACCTTGGCCTGATGTGTCAGTGGTGTGAGAGGATAAGATTGAGCTTTAGCTTTAGAAAGTTGCTAGTATGAAGAAAGCATGAAAAACAGAGGCAAATGAGTATCCCCAAACAGTTAATCTTGGAATAGAATAGACACAGATGGTCCTACCTCTTCTGGATGTTTCTGTGCCACCGATACCAGCTCTTCAGAGCTACTTCTTGAGGTAGAGGGTACCACATTACCTGGGGCCTCTGAGACCACCTCATTTGACGGCTCGGAGTCCTGAGGGCAACAGAGACAAATAGACCCCTCAGCAGCATGTTGATGTGGTACTCCAGGATAGAGAGAGTTCTCAGAGGAGCTGTGCTCTGAGCACAGGAAAACAGAGAATACTTGAAGTCTAAAAACTCATTTTTACACTGGGCAACTAGTTTTACCCCAGAGGCAAAAACATCTGCCACATACTTTCTCTTAAAATGGTAATACTTTCTTCATAAGAACATTTTAAGCCTTAGTAAATAGCTATACAGCATTTCAGAATTGTAAAGTTCTGAATAAGCATGCTTGTTTTGCCCATACCTACCCCTGCTCCTAAACTGCATGGAAGGGAAACCTACATTTCATCCCCTTATTGAAGATAAGAGATTTCTGCAAAACAACCTTGACCATGCTAGAAAAACCCCACACAAATGTATTTTATAGATTGCTGTAAACTGATATAGCAGAGAAAACTGGTAAAGCTAGAGAAGGATGACTGTCAACTTCAACACTACAGTCAAATAAGTAAAATAAAACCACTTAAGTAGTTAACATTCTTCTTTCTAAATTGCCTTTACGTTGAATTTACAATGTAATGTGACTAGAATAGATTAGTCAAAATAAAAATTGCTTTAATACCTCCACTGCTTCACACAGTGGTTTTGATAACTGCATAGATTGAGATATTTTACTATGGAGAAAAAAAATCCATTAATCGGTACTATCTCTACTATGCTTGTAATGCTCATTACAGAAGATATTTTAGTTGTCATTGCTTAGCAAGCAGAATATGTGCTTTTGATGTATCACTTTCTCTCTACAGTCATTAATTGCAAGGAAATCGAGATTATACTTTCGGAAACTGCAAGCTGCAAAGCTCATTATTAAGTTTTTGACATGACAACTTCTATAATGTAAATTCAAATTTTGTACTAATAATATTCAGCACTTGCATTTTAGCCCAATGTCTATGTTTGGACTATTGGAAGGGACAAAGCTGTGGCCCAACACCCACTACTGGGAATCACAGGACAGACCAGACATTGTAAAAGAATACATGGAGGGGGTTGCTAGAGGCTAGAAAGTTGGAAAAAAGTCTATGGGTCTGGGGGGGTATTCTCTAGTATCTCTATTTCATATAACTTTTCAGGTGAATTCCTGTAAAATAAAAACAACAACAGCAACCACAACAAAAACCTACTAAGCTTAACTATTTCAAATAAAGCTCTTTATGACATTCTTTTAGCACCACCTCTCTGTGACTTAGATTATTCTGGCCCATCCTGTAGCCCATCACTTTAAGTATAAAGTTCAGTGTCACGATAACTACAAGGAAAAGACTCTCTCTTCATGTTGGCCCAATTAGCCACAAACTGACTCAAAGTACTGAACCGTGCTATTTTGTTTTCTCCTTGAGGACTAGAAAGTTAAATCATTGCCACGCAATTTATCAGCTCAGTATGTTTCCAGAAGCTCTCCTGTGCTGTTTGCAAAAACAAAAGTAACAACCACATCTGCTGGAAGAAAATGATGTACTTGTCTAAATTCTTTGGTTCAGTGATTTCTCTCCTTGAATTCTGCCTGTCTTTTGTGCCTAAGAAAACTTTTATTACGTTGCTATCACCCGTTGCCAGATAATGGTGGCAACGTTGTTTTTTGTTACTTATGTTTTTTGAAACAATGGGTTTCAAAAATGGTCAGAGCAGCAGTAATTTGGTAAACATATATTCTTGTTTCATTTATTTTGCTTCAACAAGAGCAGCACATCACAGATGCTCTCCTCCTCCCTCCTCCTCCCCCCCCCCCCATAATCAAGTCCTGAATATCTTCTTCCCAACCAGCTTGTCCATCCTTCTCAATAGTTCTCTTAAGAAACTAATATAGGGCTAATATAATACATCAATTTTTAAGGAGATGGATGGAAACCTGATTTACTTTGTTATTCAGAAACAGATCAAATAAATCACTTCTGTTCCAGTTACAATGGTTTCACTATCTCTTTTCACACTGCTGTGTCACTTAGGAAAACTGTGCAGAGCCTGAGCATTTGTATGAAAAGCAATCTATGTTCTAGACTAGTTCAGCAACACGTGAAGTACAGCTTTTGGAAATAAACATTTCAGTAAGTGGAATGTGACCCATTCATGTAAGGTACAATGACAAAAATGTTGCAAGGTGCAAGTGAGAACTTTCATAAAGCTTCTTCTTGGTGTCTTCTGAGTGCATGGTCAAATGAACTAGTAACCAATTATGGTAACTTGCACTCAGACATATAAAATCACCTTAAAAGTTATTAGCATTGTTTACTTCTGTAAAGGGAAGGCATACAATCTGTATCACTGACACAAAATAGCTATTTTACTGAAGAATTGGTAAATGAAAAAAAAAATGTACTTCAATTTTTATTTATTTTTTTGTCTTCCTCCCTTATTATTTATATCATAATACACTGGGTCAACTTTGCAAAAATATTTGCACTTGTTGATCTGTAAGCCTCAACTGTAGCAGTGAAAGACTGTTCATGGATGTGTAAATGACACAATAAATGATTTGGTACACAACTTTTCTGGTGCCTAAGCCCTTCCCATTTCATTAAAATATTATAATATTTCCACCCTATATACCTTAACTGCATTTTCAAGTCAGGTCAACACGTAGCTTTCTAACAAATCACAATGTTTAACTATATTAATCAATAACTAATGGGGAAAAACACTATTAAGTGGTACTTACAGTTTCCTGAAAATATAGACATTCTTTATGAAAATGTAACTACATCATAAACAAATAAACTCAGAATGCTCAGTAATTATATTTTTTCCTGCAAAATTCTGATTTTGAACAAAGCTCCTCAGAGCATAATTTTCTTGAATTTATGAAACTTTAAAGAGGAAACATGAAATGTGTCGACATTCTTCTATGTTTATGCAAGAAAGACAGCTCTGCTTTGAACTATGTCTATTTTCATATGACCTAAATATTCATGCAATTTAAGATACCACAGCAGCATTAGTTTGATTCAAACAGATCTGGAAAAAAAAAAAAAAAGTATTTGAATTACATGTTCATACAAACACATAACAAATTGGATCTTCTGGTCCTGGGATGGAACATGCATGCTAGAGTCATGACATTGGTGGTAAACCCTCCTTAGCAGCAGACACAAAATGGCGGTGGCTTCAGTGGAATGGCTGGTGGCTGGCTCAAGTTGGAGTCTTGGACCTTCAGCATTTATCATTATTATTATTATTATTATTATTATTATTATTTTAATTAAGGCTATAAGAGATCAAAAGTGATAATGAATGGTGAGAGGTGAGAAATCAAAAATGCATCCAAGTGTAATGCAATTCCTTCAAAATACCCAGTCTTTTTCTCCCTTTCAAGCTGTTAGGCACACTTGTTATTTGCATCTACTGTAACAGAAGTAAACATTCTTCTTTTAGTTTTTGTCCTTTGCTGTGCAGAAGTATCACTGAAACAACACAATGAAAAATCAATAGTGTATACAGACCAGATGGGGATTTCATGTGTGAGCTACAAAAAAGTGATAGATTTCAGAGGAAAATATTTACATTTTATGCTATGCTTAATTTTATTTGTTTTTGAAGTCCTAATTTGAGGACTTCAGTATTTTTACTTCATTATTATTATTTATTTTTAGAACAGACCATTAAATTTCACTTTAAATATACATACATAAAGATATGTGTTTTATATGTATGTTGCAGATAATATATTCAAACATGTACACTGCCAGTGTTATATTCATAATGAATGCTACAGAAACAAAATAATGTCATAGTGTTTACCCATATATGTTAAAGTCACAACAGATGTAACTCATAAAATGGAAGCTCTACACAGCCTTTGATTTCAAAGAAAATTGAAAACTATATAAACTTCATAAAAAAAAAAAGCACAAAACTTAAAATACTTTGCTAGAAAATGCAAGAAGATCCATTTGAAAAAAGATGGAAAAACAGTGTCATACAATGGAATTCATACCAGCTGAGCATCAGTTACTTTGTCTGCCATTGTTACTTTAAAACAAAACAAAACAAAAGAACCCAAACACATCAACTCACATCACCCAAACCCTTTATAGATAATTTCAAGCTGTCAGGTTTGAATATATTATGTTAACTCTGCATCAGTTTTCGTGTCATCCTGTACCTTGGTCCAGTTGAAAATTACACAAGCCATAAATTAGCTTTAAACAAGCTTTGAATCACCCTGGAACTAGTTTTCAAATTAAAGAGCCGTCAGTATATTACATGGTACTGTCATTTTATTACCCCAATCAATTCTGTGTGGCCTGAGGTAGAAAGAAAATGGATGCTGTCTTCATTTGCAAAGGGTTTATCTCTTAAACCAGGCTCTGAAAACATGACTGCAGTAATGAATTGGAAGCCAAAGTTACTAACAAAGACTTTTAACAGTAGCAAAGTAGAAATATTTGTCCCTCTTTAGACTTACAAAAGGAAAGGAGAAAGAAAAAAAAAAAAAAAAAGCCTCTTCTAAAACATGAAGGCAGCTTCTTAAGGCTGAAGGACTATGGGAAGAAATTAGTCTATTTTTGTTGAAGTGCCAAAGTGCTTTTAGCCTCCGCAAACATCATTTTAGTACTGCACTTAGTAGCCTTCCTGGGTCAGAGCAAGGTCCCTCTGCAGCCCAGGAGGCAGAAGATGCCCTCCTAGCAGCCAGTTGCTCTTGCCCTCCCTTGTTCTCCCAGGTGCTTACTTGGGAAGTCTTAGTCAGAATATGGTAAAATCTAGTAAATACAAGGTATCTGTAGTTCTTCACAGTTCCCAGGAAGACAAAGTAAAGCCCCAGGAGGAATGTACTCTTTATCTCAATCTACTTACGCATGAGATCAACCACTTTGTCTTTCACAGGATTTTACTCTGCGCTGGTTAATGAGGAAAGAATGCAAGCTTTAAAAGCCCCTTTCCATATTTGTAAAATTTCATTCCCTTTTCTGTTCCTATTTTGATACTTTTCTCATGTTAATTTTCTTTCAT